TTGTTCATTCATATATTGCGGAAAACGAGAGCATCAGTGTGGAGAAGATGTTGTTTACGTCAAAACTGAAACCAAGCCGTTCACACAGAACGCATATTTATCAAATTTTCTAGAGGGACATCTATCAGCGTTGGTTTTTCCCCATCCCACTGTATCTCATGTTTTTAAATGAAGAAAGTAGCCTACTTTTGTGATTTGGTTTTCGGTCCTTTGTATTAACTATACATACATGCATGGTGCTGTTTTTTTTCTAATTGTTTAAGCAACTTTATTAATTATATATGGTTTATAAACATTATTTTAAACATTATGCACTTTTTTCAAAGATAGTCGTGTTATTTTATTACGCTTTGAAGAAACGTGCATAATATTTTGCTCGATGCGCCCTCTTGTGGCCTCAGGAGAGAAGCCAAAAGCTTTCCCCCCCCCTAACTGAAATTATGCCTTTTAAATTCGAATATAATTCGAATTTTGATCATATTTAAGTGGAAAATTCAAATTTAGTTTTTCAGTCATTTTGACAGCCCTAATTCTTATGGTTTCATTTTATGCCGCCCCATGACTTTTTTGGATCTTCTAAATTTTTGAACACCAGGACTTTCAATGGTGGGACAGAAAGTCCTGGTGTTCAAGGTTTCATTTAATTTGTGTTTTGAAGATTAACCAAAGGTTTATGGATTTGGAATGACATAATGGTGAGTACATAAGTGTCTCATATTGCTTTTTGTCATGTAAAACAACTTTGCATCCCTCTTTTTCTTGCAGACGGTGTCCTGAGCCATGGGGGCCTTCTTGGACAAACCGAAGACAGAGAAACATAATGCTCACGGAGTGGGCAACGGTCTGCGCTTCGGCCTGAGCAGCATGCAGGGCTGGCGGGTAGAGATGGAGGATGCGCACACGGCCGTTGTGGGTCTACCGCATGGCCTGGATGACTGGTCCTTCTTCGCAGTGTATGACGGTCACGCTGGCTCCCGCGTAGCCAACTATTGCTCCAAACACCTGCTGGAGCACATCATAACCAGCAGCGAGAACTTCCGTTCGGGGCCCGACTCCGTGGAGGGCGTTAAAACCGGCATTCGTTCTGGCTTCCTGAAGATCGACGAGTACATGCGCAACTTCTCGGACCTACGTAACGGCATGGACCGTAGCGGTTCCACGGCAGTCGGTGTGCTGGTGTCCCCTGAACACCTCTATTTCATCAACTGTGGAGACTCCCGTGCTGTTCTCAGCCGTGCCGCACAGGTACGGTTCTCCACACAAGACCACAAGCCGTGCAACCCACGTGAAAAAGAGCGCATTCAAAACGCAGGAGGTTCTGTGATGATCCAAAGGGTGAATGGTTCTCTTGCTGTGTCACGTGCCCTGGGGGACTATGACTACAAGTGTGTGGATGGGAAGGGCCCCACTGAGCAGCTGGTATCTCCGGAACCGGAGGTGTTTGAAATCCCACGCATTTCAGACGAGGATGAGTTTGTGGTGCTCGCTTGCGATGGCATCTGGGATGTGATGAGCAATGAGGAGCTGTGTGATTTTGTGCGCTCTCGGCTAGAGGTGTGGGATGACTTGGAGAAGGTCTGCAACTCTGTGGTGGACACCTGTTTACATAAGGTGAGGAGATCACAGCAGAAGTCTTTAAAGGATAGTTCAGTTTATTCACCTTAAACATTTAGGAGCCAAATGACTGCAAAATCATTTGGCGAAGAAGCGCTTCTGTCACTCTAGTGATCTTGATTACATTTGTGATGCAAAATATGAAGAAGAATATTTCTAGAACAACATAATTAATTTTGATTCAAATTACAATAACAATTAAATTAAAGTTTCATAATTAGTTTTTCTAATATTGATCATTTTAGAAACAGACTCATTAAAAAGAAACTATTCGCCAAGGTCATATGTTTTTAAATTAGACTTGATGGCTTGTGCCGTGTTTGCTGTGTGCATTAAAACTCAAACTGAGTAAATAGTGACATTTTTTGGGTCAACTTTTCTTTTAAATCTTGTTTTTTTTGCCCAATGGGTTCCACCTAAGTCTATTTAATCTGTTTTACATTAGTTGCACAGCCTTATGAAGCTGAATCATTGAGTCTTTACATAATTGTTACAGTCCCCCCCCCCCC